ATAGCATTTTTACTCGCCGGGTATATTCTTATTGCGTAAACTAGGAGTTGTTTATCCCATTGTACAGCGCTACGGAATTTGCAGTCGCTATATAAATGATTAAATAATAACATTAAAGGGTCACTACAGGGAAGGGGTCTTACTTACCCGGATACAGTGCCGGGATCCTCCTGATCCTCCAAAATGACGAAATAGGAGGGTGCGAGCAGGGAGTAATAAAACGCTTCTATTCAGAAGCGTCATTGCTCTCTGGTGCGCATGCGCAGCTTTGCCACACATGCACAGATACTTCATAGGGCGGCATTCATGTCTCGACTAGGAAGCACCTCTAGTGGCCATCTGAGTGTCCACTAGAGGTATTCCTCATCAGTAATGTAAATATTGCCTTTTTACGAAATGGCTGTGCTTACATTAAAAAGCCTGCAAAGACATGCTATAGACACCAGAACTACTACGTTTAGCTGTTGTGCTTATGGTGACTATAATGTCTCTTGAATATAGAGAGGAAAAAAGAATCATCACAAATGTAAGAAATAAAATGTCTGTATCATTATTCTAAAAATTATTTTTAAAAAATAAAAAAATATGCACATTCCTAGCTTAATTTTTAGCACGACATATGACACAAACATTTTGTACAGATTACTTTTTATATTTTTTTATACATATACAGATTGTGTAATACTGCCCCTGACTTAGGGTGACCACATTTCCTAACTGCCATTCAGTGACACTGTCAGAAATGCATTCCATACATTTTACTACCCGCCTCTTACCCTTCCATTTATATTAGAACCCCACCTACCCCTTCCATGAATATTAGAACCACCCCTACCCCTCCCATGAATATTAGAACCACCCCTACCCCTTCCATGCACAAAAGAACCCCACCTACCCCTTCCACGCATATTAACCCCCCTACCCGTTCCATGCATATTAGTACCCCCCTAACCTCTTCCTTGCATATTAGTACCCCCTAACCCCTTCCATGCATATTAGAACCCACCCTACCCCTTCCATTCATATTAGTACTTCCCTAACCCCTTCCAATAATTTTTCTACCTCCCCCCTCCTCCCATCCATATTAGTAGCCCCCCTAAACCCTTCCAATTATTTTTCTACCTACCCCTCTCCCCCTATCCTTATTAGTAGCCCCCCTAACCCTTTCCAATTATTTTTCTACCTACCCCTCCCCCCATCCATATTAGTAGCCCCCCTAAACCCTTCCAATTATTTTTCTACCTTTGTCACCCTTTTACCTGACATAGCAGGGGGACCTCTGGACGTCAGGCAGGCGCAGTGTCAGACTGAGCGCCGGGTAGTCACGTGACACTCGGCCAGGGCCGGTGCAAAGATTTTTGCCGACCTAGGCAAAAGTAAAGTTTGCCGCCCCCCCCATGTGACATCACAATGCCCCACCCATATGATCTGCCATGTTAACTAATGCCATTGCTGGAGTGCCGCCGTGTTTACATTAAAAGGCCTGCAGGGACAGGCTATAGACACCAGAACCACTACATTAAGCTGCAGTGGTTCTGGGGACTATAGTGTTTCTTTAATGTGAGGTAAATTAGAGATTAGTGCCACGAATAATATGCTAGATTGCCTACTTACAACCAGATGAGGATGATGATGGGCTCTAGCTGCAATCTGGCTCCACTGGTCTAGTGTAGAACAGGCTCTCTGGAGGCTGTTTGTAACTGTGGTCACAAAAATCAGTGTTCTGGGAGAACGGGAAGCAGCTCCATTTTTTGGAGGCCCTTTACACAGCTCAAGGTCTGGGTTTCAGGGTCCACCTTCATGTTCCACCAATGAGTTTATTCACAGGGGTGGAGTGTGTAGGGGATGTCCTGATATGTGTGTAAGGGATGCATTGTGTGAATCTGTGTTTGTATGTGTAAGGGCTGCAAGGTGTGTTTCTGTGTATGTACGGGATGCAGTGTGTGCGTCTGTAAGGGGTGCATTGAGTGTGTGTAAGGAATGCATTGTGTGTTTCTGTGTGTGTAAGGTTTGCATGATTGTGCGATTGTGTGTGTGTGTGTGTGATGGATGTCAATCTCTCTCCCTCCCTTGTCACTCTCTTTCTCCCCCTCCCTCCCTCCCTTGTCACTCTCATTCTCCCACTCCCTCCCTTCCTTGTCACTCTTTCTCCCCCTCCCTCCCTCCTTCCCTCCCTCGTCACTCTCTTTCTCCCCCTCCCTCCCTCCCTTGTCACTCTCATTCTCCCCCTCCCTCCCTCCCTTGTCACTCTTTCTCCCCCTCCCTCCCTTCCTTGTCACTCTCTTTCTCCCCTCCCTCCTTGTCCTCTCTTTCTCCCCTCCCTCCCTCCCTTGTCACTCTCTTTCTCCCCCTCCCTCCCTTGTCCTCTCTTTCTCCCCCACCCTCCCTCCCTTCCTCCCTTGTCACTCTCTTTCTCCCCCTCCCTCCCTTGTCTCTCTTTCTCTCCCTCCCTCGTCACTCTCTTTCCCCCCCTCCCTTGTCACTCTCTTTCTCCCCCTCCCTCCCTTGTCACTCTCTTTCTCCCCCTCCCTCCCTTCCTTGTCACTCTCTTTCTCCCCCTCTCTCCCTCCCTTGTCACTCTCTTTCTCCCCCTCTCTCCCTCCCTTGTCACTCTCTTTCTCCCCATCTCTCCCTCCCTTGTCACTCTCTTTCTCCCCCTCTCTCCCTCCCTTGTCACTCTCTTTCTCCCCTCTTGTCACTCACTTTCTCTCCCTCCCTTGTCACTCTCTTTCTCCCCCTCCCTCCCTTGTCAATCTCTTTCTCCCCCTCCCTCCCTGTCATTTCCCCCCTCCTTCCCTGTCATTTCCCCCCTCCCTCCCTGTCATTCCCCCCCCCACCTCTGTTGTAGCGTGGCCCAGGGGTACAGGGAGCTTTTGTTTCCTGTACCTGGCCGGACTAAAAGGAAGTGCACACTCAGTGTTCACTTCCTGTTAGTCTGGCCGGGTACAGGAGACAGATGCTCCCTGTACCCGCGGACCATACAGGGCTTGGCCACGCTACAGTGAGGGAGTGACAGGAGGGAGCGCTGAGCGCTTCCCTCCTGTCAGTCCCTCTCCTCATGCTGCGCCCAGGCGATGCGCCCTCATGGACGCACCAGCCCGGGCAAAGCTGCAGCCACCTGAGGCTCTCTGCAGACCGCTAGGGCAGCTGCAGCATGAGGGGGGCCGGCGGAGCTGGGGGGGATTTCCCCATAACCTGTACCCCCTGCATGATTTGCTGGGGGGATGCGTCCCCCCCATTTCCCCCGGTTCCTACGCCCATGTGCGTCGTTTGGTGTTAGGAGGGTTCGGAGGAGAAGTTATACAGCAATTCGTAAAATGCTGCAAACTCCTCCACCATCATTGATGGGTTAATCAGTTTCTCCCCAGCCTTGTTCAGCAGGAAGGGTATTCTCATATGAGAGTTTTTCTCTTTTAATTGGGATGTCAGGGGTTTTTCTGCCCTGTTCCCTTGCCTATAGTAAACTATAGTCTTTAGTTTACGTATCACTCTTTCTACTAGTTGTAGTTGGTAAGTTTCCATTTCAAGTGTGTGTAGTAAGGATTTGGTCATGTTGCAGGGCAAGGATTTATGTCGGTCCTCTACCTTTTTTAATTCAGCTTGTTCTCTACTGCTTTCCTCTGTGACTGTAACGGAACACCTGGCACCCCAACTGGGTACCTCCGTTGATGGATGCTCCTAGTGCTTACCTAGGGCTCCAAGCACTTCTCCAGACACCATAAGTACTGCAGACCCCACAAACCGCTGCAGCCGTCTCCTACCCACCCTGGACCTACGACAGGCTCTAGGCTCCAGTGGGTGAACCTCTCTTCCCAGTGTAGATGCAGCCTTTTCCCCCACACATGAGACAAGGCTCTATGTTGAAGGTAAAACAGGAACTCAGCAGTCTGAGGGTTTATTGTCTCTTATATACAGGCTTTCCCACAAGGTTACCACCCACGTGGACCTTGTAGAACACAGGATACAAAGTCACAAAACCAATCAGGACAGACTACAGTACACTTTAGACACTCCTAGACAATGTACACAAACCCTCCCCTCTGCCTGTGATACAATTAACAAACACAATGGGCTAACTTAATTACTCACAGGCAGAAAACACAAATTTTTACCAAAACACAGAAAACACCCCAAAACACCACGTATCCCCATCATACATACACGGATAGCCCTGATCTGGGTGAACAACATTTCCAAAATTCACCCAGATCAGAGCAGAGGTTCACAAATTTCATGGAAGTCACATTTGACTGACCACAAGCATGGCTTTCCTGCCCAAAACAGTTCCACAGATTTAGGCTGTGCAGCTGGTCTATCTTCTCCTCTATCCTGGAGATAATTGGCTTAAGTGGGTGTGGTAACTTAATTATCTCCAGGTACAGGGAATATCTCTAAGTAAAAACTGTTACAAAAACCACACAAAAATACATAACTCATATAATACAATGTTTAACCTATATGTCCAACATATCCCCAGATAGTTTGGATCTGAGTGCTCAATATGTCCGAAAAGCGCTTAGATCTCACAAATACAGTTGGAACGCCATGTGGTTAAACAATAGCAAGGGCTGATGAGAGATTGAGGAGGGACAAAGCAGCCAGTTTCAACTGGTCTTGCAGTGTCCCTGGGCCATGCCCTGCTGGAGAACAATATTGCAGGAAAAAGGGGGAGGGGAAGAGGCACATTTTCCCACGAAAGTTACTTTTCAAGTGTGTCTTTTTGCAGGGCCCATAATCCTGGGGCAAAAGGATGACAAACAGGCCCCTCCAAAACCCAGTGGCGAGGTTATTTTCGCAACAGTGACCTTTCTTCTTAGTTGTGCGCCTTGTTTGATTAGTATGTCTCACACCACTGCCTTATGGGCAAGCCATGTGGTGGGGAGATTCGTGTCAGTATATTGGTTGTCTACAAAGAAGTTCGCTATCATTCTACTCACCTCAGCTGCCAGTTCTGTGCGGTCTATGAGTGACTCATTGAGTCGATACAGTCCGCGTCCTCTGGTTAGGTAGAGTGTTGTGAAAGTGGTCAGGAGGGGAGTGTGGTCTGACCAAGTGATAGGGGCAATGGTAACTTCATCTAGAATTTCTAAAGTTTTTATGTCAACCAGGCACATGTCTATGCAAGAGTATTGGTTGTGGACTTTTGAATAAAAAGTGTAATCTCTAGTAGCTGGGTGCAGAGAGCGTCATGTGTCATATAGGCCATGGGAGTGTAGTAGGGCAGATAGTATGGTGCAGAGGAGGTGGGCTCTCAAGTGGGAATCCGGGTTGCCGGATCTGTCAAGGTCGAGGTCTAGTACGCAGTTGAAGTCTCTGCAGACAATCTTTGGGCCCTGCTTCAGCTTGTCAATTTTGTTCAGTGCTTTTTTAATAAAGTCGTATTGGTTGGTGTTGGGGGCATATAGGTTGGCTATGGTCACTGGGGTATCGTTGAGCATTCCCACCAGTATTAGGAGCCTGCCATCAGTGCTTTTGTATTCCTTCTCAGATTGAAAGGGCCAGTATTTGTGGAACAGTATACAAAGTACAGGGAGAGGAGGCCTGACACAAATTTTGTTAGGTGCCAACGTGTGGTAAGTTAACAGGTACCTGGATGAGGAAAACCTAGAGGGGTTCAGAGCGGAGAAATGGGTCTCTTGGATACAAGCAATAGATGCATGTGATGCATGCATTTGGCAGAAGGAAAACCTGCGTTTCTGTGTGGTGTTAAGGCCGTGGGCGTCCAGGGATAGGACATTGAATTGTTAGGAGAGAGTCCTCTATTAAGGTCGGGGGGACCCTGGGACGATCCCAGGTGCCAGCACCCGCCCGACTCCCTGTCCATGTCATCCTTAGAGGGTAATTCCCTGGTGTCCACATTGTGCGGCAGAGAGTGTCTCAGAGATATTTCAGGGCAGAACAAAAAACATAACAATTAAAGTAAAATACAGACCAAAGATATATACAGTATAAACAGCTTAAACGCATCATGTGGAGACTGGCCATCGAGTGCATACCCCTCACTCCGCAGCAGGGCAAGTGTCTCAGTGGGGGGGAGGTGATGGTCATGGTGAATGCTTGTATGAACTGTCGGACCAGGACATCTATTGAGGTGTCAGCGGGGGTTCAAACCTACCATCACAATCTGGGTGAGGGGTCTGCCATCCCTGGGCATGGCAATGCTAGAGAGAGATAGGCAGGTGCCCGGGTCGGGTGATCTGGGGTATTACACGTTGAACTTGCCCATGTAATGTGGAAGGCATGGGGTGCGGGGTGTGGAGAGAAGGTCCAACACAACGAGAGTTAAATAGTGCAATTTTGTTGTTGTTGTTTGTTTGTTCTTTTTTTGTGTTATAACTCTAGGAGGTGTAGGGAGTGGAGTGGCTGTGTGGTTTTACTCACTTGGGGAATCCCCAAATACCTCCGTTAGTCAGGAATGTAGGTTTTGGTCAGCATTAGTCCTTAGTGAGGTTAGATAAATGTCCATTGTTCAGGTAAGCGGGCTGCATCGTTCATGTGAAGCAGTCCTTGTAATAAAGACGGAGATGGGCAGTTGGATTATTTTGTCTTCTGTACTCTTGTCCACTCCGGGGGCATTCCCCTCGGGGTGATAGGGTTAGTGGTCACTGTTTTTTCTGGGAAGAGGCCCCAGACCCGCAGCATATCCATGCCTTGTTCTGGGTCATCCATTTCCATTAGAGATCCATTGCACCAAATCAGGATTTTTGTGGGGAAGCCCCACCGGTATTGTACCTTGTTGTTTCAAAGGCACTTGTTGATGTTGATGAAATCCTTCCTTCTTGACATCATTGTGGCCGACAGGTCAGCGCATAAGGACACCCCCATGTAGTCAGGTGGCATGCCCATTGCCTTCCTCTACGCTGTCAGTATGGCCTCCCTGGAGCTGTAGAAATGGAGCCTGGTGACAATGTCTCTGGGGATGTCTTGTGCCAAGTTTTTTTCTTTGGGTACTCGGTGTGCCCGATCTAGGCACAGGTCACCATTTTCCAACTTGGGTTGTATAGCGTGGAAGAGGTGCTGGAGGTAATCTGGTAACATCTTGTTCGTGACTGACTCTGGGACCCCACACACAAGGATATTATTGCGGCATGAACGATCCTCCAGGTCTGCCAGTTTTTCAGTGAGGTGTATGTGCACCAAACCTTAAAATGCTGCTAGTTCCAACATTAAAGGAAACATAAAACAAAAATATAAATATAAGTAATGCAGGGTTCCACAAGTGCAATAGGTGTCTGGGTTGCAAGAACAATCCAACACAAGAATCCACCATTAAGGAGTTCAAAAGTATGAAGAGAGATTCAAAATAAGGACACATTTTAGCTGTAACACAGTTGGAGTCATCTACCTTCTAATATGTCCCTTTAAGAAATATTATATTGAAAAAACAAAGGGGCCTTTCAAGATAAGATTGGTGGAACATATCTGAAATATTAATCACCCATAATCTCTCCAGAAAATTCTCTTTCCACCACTCGAGGGATCCTGGAGGTCTAGAATGTTTAGCTATAGAGAAAGTCGATATTCATTGGAGAGGAGGGGATCTAGAGAAAGTCCTAGACAGGATAGAGGCAAAATGGATTTTCAGACTTAATAGTTTGGAACCCATAGGTCTTAATATAGATTTTGAGCTTAATGCTTTCCTTTAAGATTATTATTTGATGGTATGGAAATGAGGACTCTCCCCCAACAGATGGTATGGAAATGAGGACTCTCCCCCAACAGTTCTTCTACTTTCTTCTTTCTTCTTCTTCTTTTTTTTTTCTTCTTCTTCTTCTTCTTCTTCTTTTTTTCTTCATTTTCTCTTTTATTTATATTGATGAATCTTTCTATTTGTCTGTTTCTACTCGACAATTTTAGTACCAGATGAATTAATTTATATGTAATTTAATTTCAGTTCATATTTTTTTAATTGATGATCCATTGGCTATCCAACAGGCTTTAGACATATCCATCTAGTTATACAATATCCCTTGTAGGACATCAGGAGATCTTATGAGTAGTGATTTGACTCCTCCTTCTTGTTTTTAAATTTTCTATTTTTTTCACTTTAAAAAAAATAAAATATTTTAATTATAATATTTGTATTTATATATTTTTATATATTTTTATTTTTATTTATTCATTTATGTATTTGTATTTTTATTTGTATCTTTATTTTTTTTTATTTCCATTTTTATTTATTTTTATTTTTATGTTGTTTTCAAGTTTAGTTTTATTTTTATCCTTATTTTGATGAATTATTCTTTATCTTTTGCAGATTGAAGATGGATGGTTCTATGAAGATATTTAAAATATTGTTAATATATTTTTAATCCGATTTGTTATAATTTTTCTCCAGAAACTATTCTATACAACATGCCATCGCGTATATATTCTATATCAGTAATTTAAATGTTGCAACTTTGATGTTTATATTGTTCTTTTATAATGTCAACTGTAGTTGAGATCTGCATTTTTGAAGATTCGTGGCTACATGAATGACTTATTCATTTTTATTCATTTCATGTTATTTAATAGGGCAAAACATAATTGTGTGCAATGTCATCAAGTATACATTAAAATTAGGAATTCGTTTTTTATAGTATCTTCATTGTTTATTTTAATATGTCATTTTTTGCAGAGATGTGTATGCTTTTTTACGTCTTTTTTATGTTTTTTTGCTATATATTTTTCGCTAGTTCAACATTGATCTTTTTATCAGGATGATGTTAATAAAGAAAGCTGCCCAATGAAGGGTTAATAACCCTGTGTACCAATTAATCTGTGATGCTTATAAACCGAAGAAAGTTGAAGTGTTGTCATCCTCTGATGAAGTGATCAGCTGATCACAAAACGCGTAAGGCAGGCATCCTACACAAGCTCTAAGGAGACAGCCAAGTGGATCACACACTAAGCCGCAGTGGAGCACATGTGGCGGGTATCCAGTGTCTAACCCCTTGCAGAGATTCAGACTTCCCCCGATCCGGCCGGCAGGAGGGAGCCACGAGGATCAACCTGGTACTTCATTCTTCTTATTTGGATGCTTCTATGAGTGCAAGTTTTATCTTATTGACTTATTTATTTTTTATTGACAGTGTCTATCTTTAATAAATTTAAATAGAAAGCACTAGTGATGCACCGAACGGTTCGCTGGCGAATAGTTCCCGGTGAACATAGCATGTTCGCATTCGCCACGGCGGGCGAACATATGCACGGTTCGATACGCCCCCTATTCTTCATCATTGAGTAAACTTTGACCCTGTACCTCACAGTCAGCAGACACATTCCAGCCAATTAGCAGCACACCCTCCCTAGCAGACCCTCCCACCTACTGGAAGGCATCCATTTTACATTCATTCTCAAGTTGCATGTTAGTGAGAGGAGGGAAAGTGTAGCTGCAGTTGATTAGATAGGGAAATGCATAGCTAGGTTAGGGTATACAGTGTCCACTACAGTCCTGAAGGACTCATCTGATCTCTGCTGTAAGGACAGCACCCCAAAAAGCCCTTTTAGGGCTAGAACATCAGTCTGCTTTTTTTTTTTTACTGGAAGGCATCTCATATTTTACATTGCCCAGCCCACCACTCTTCTACTGTCACAATAGCTTAGGGGGGAAAGAAAGTTCACTGTTATAGATAT